AGCTCTATACTGCCGCCTGCAGCCTGAGTTCTTTCCAGAGATTTCCTCTCAGGTAAATTCAGGAAGAATTCTTTTTCTCTTTTGCTTCGGAGACAGGGTCTCACATAGCCCAGGCTAGCCTCTGGCTCACTAAACATCAGGGGAAGACTTTTGATCCTCTGACCCTGTGGGAAGTGTCCAGGCACACACTGCACGTGCACAGAAGTTAAAGAACAAAGCTTTTTCTCCTTCCACCATGTGGGTCCCAGGGATGACACTCAGGTCCTCAGGCCTGGTAGCCGTTATGTTTAACCCACTGAGTCATCGTGCCAGCCTAACCCCAGGATTTTTGACTCAGACACAGAATTTCAAGATGAGTATGATGAGGGTTTTTTTGTTTTTTTTTTTTTTTAACATTTCTGTGTGTGCACTTCCCATGCACAGGTCAGATGATAACTTTCAGGAGTCAGTTCTCTTCTGAAAGGCTTAGCATCAGACACTTTTACCTGCTGAGCCATTTAACTGGTCCTTTAGAGATTTTCTTAAATACACACACACAAAACACACACACACAACATGAGATTTAAGAAAGACATTCAGGAACCAGCAATGCTGGCACATACTTGGGAGGCAGAGGCAGGCGGATCTCTGAGTTTGAGGCTAGCCTGGTCTATAGAGCGAGTTCCAGGACAGCCAGGGCTACATAGAGAAACCCTGCTTTGAAAAACCAAAACCGAAAGAAAGAAACAAAGAAAGAGAGAGAGAGAGAGAGAGAGAGAGAGAGAGAGAGAGAGAGAAAGGTGCTGTGGAATATTTCTTTACACCATGTGAATATATGTCTCTGTGACTGGTTTAATAAATAAGCTGACTGGCCAATAGCTAGATGGGAAGAGACTGGGCAGGAAAGCTAGACTAGGAGAATGCTGGGAGGAAGAAAGGTTGAATCTAACATCACAAACAGACTCAGAGGAAAGCAAGATGGGCATGCCATGCTGAGAAAAGGTACCAAGCCACATGACAAAGCATAGATAAGAAACATAGGCTGGGTGTGGTGGTGCATGGCCAGGCATGGTGGGGCATGCTGTTAATCCCAGCACTCAGGAGGCAGAGGCAGGCAGATCTCTGTGAGTTCAAGGCCAGCCTGGTCTACAGAGTGAGCTCTGGGATAGGCTCCAAAGCTACACAGAGAAACCTTGTCTTGAAAAATCCATATATATCTATGGATTAACATAAATGTAAGAGTTAGCTAATAACAAGCCTGAGCTATTGGCCAATCATTTATAATTAATATTGGTGGGATGACTCATCCCTAGGAGGCTTGAGGCCCAGGCAAGTGAAAAAGATACTTTCTGGGAGCCAACCTGGGTCTGCTTAAGGGCCTTAGCAACAGCAGCTGAAACATGATCTGGAGATGACCTGGACCAATGAGAGACAGCCAATGTCACACCAGCAGATGCATATTCATCAGACCTCCCCGCAAGGAGGGGTGGAGGGTATATAAGGCTTTCCTCTTCCTGAATAAACTGAGCTTGTTGTTTCGACATTCTCCTGGAGTCTGTGTTGTTGACTCTGCGCCTACTTGGTCCCCTCCCCCAAAGGGAACAACAGCAAGGACCCTGCTACAAATATTGAGTCTCTGTATCAGTTATTTGGGAACTGGCAGATGGGAAAGAAAAGTCTGCCTACAGAAAGGTACCTAGGAAAGGGGAAGGCCGACCTGAAAGTGTGGGTATGGGCTTCTCCAGAGAGCTGGCTGTCTTTACAAAACCCATTGACCTGGCTTTGGTGGCTTCTGAAGGCACTCACAGGGTGACTAAGGAACTTCTTGGGTGGAGAACATCATAGGGTGGTTGGTTCCTGATGTGCCAAGGACAGGATTGTAGCTGATTAGGTTAAACCCTCCTTGCCAAGGACTGCATGGGAAATTCAGGTGTTTTCACTATAATTTTGGGAGAGTTCCAGAAAACATGTGAGCAAGGAGTGAGGTCATACTTACAGTAATCTATGCTTGGGCCTTAAGAATGCTTTACTGCTGTGGGCTGCAGAGATAGCCCATGGTTTTAGCTTATAGCTAAAACTTATTGCATAAGCCAACCCTGAAGACTTGAGTTCAGTACCTAGAATCCACATAAAGGTGGGAGAAAGAAATGACTCCACAAAGGTGTCCTCTGCCCACCACATGCAGACTCCAGTATATTTTATTTATATTTTATATTCATTGGGTTTTTGCGTGCATGTATGTCTGTGAGAGCGTCAGATCCCCTGGAACTGGAGTTACAGACAGGTGTAAGCTGCCATGCAGGTGCTGGGAATTGAACCTGGGTCCTCTGGAACAGGAGCCAATGCTCTCAATCATCTCTCCAGCCTCCATTATTTTTAAATTTTTCTATTTATGTGTATTTGTTTTGCCTGCATGTGTGTCTGTGCACTGTGTACATGCAGTGCCTGCAGAGGCCAGAAAGCAGTGCTAAATCCCCCAGAACTGGAATTACAGTTCATTCTGAGGCACTGAGTGGTTCGGGGACTGGAACCCAGGTCCTCTGGAAGAGCAGGCAGTGCTCTTATCCACTGTGCAACCACTAGAGCTCCTCATTATTTTAATAACTTTTGTTTGTTTGTTTGTTTTTCAAGACAGGTTTTCTCTGTGTAATAGCCCTGGAACTCACTCTATAGACCAGGCTGGCCTCAAACTCTGAGATCTGCCTGCCTCTGCCTCCTAAGTGCTGGGATTAATGGTGTGCGCCACTGCCCAGCTCATTTACTGCCTTTTGAAATTCCTTGTAAAAATTACAAGTATTTAGTATGTGTATCTTAGTTAGGGTTTCTATTGCTGGGACAAAACACTATGACCAAAGCTACTTACGGAGGGAAGGATTAATTTGGCTTATACTTTCATATCAGTGTTCATCATCTAAGGAAGTCAGGGAAGGAACCTGGAGGCATGAGCTGATGCAGAGGCCATGGAGAGCTGCTTACTGTCTTGTTCAGTCTTCTTTCTTACAGAACTCAGGACCACTGGCACAAGGATGGTACCACCCACCATGGGCTGGTCCCTCCCACATCAAATACTGATTTAAAACATGCTCTACAGCTGGATCTTATGGAGGTATTTTCTCAATTGCGGTTCCCTCCTTTCAAATGACTCTAGCTTATCTGATGTAAGTTGACCTAAGACTAGCCAGCAGTGTGTGTGTGCACGTGCCGTATCACACGTGTGGAGGTCAGAGGACAGTTTGCAGGGGTCAGCTGTCTCCTTCCACCACGGGTGTCGCAGGAACTAAGCTAAGGTCATTAACCTAGTGGCAAGTGCTGTTACCCAGTCATCTCCGCAGTCCTATTTTTAACATCCACACTTGAAAATGTCTTTATGTGGGAGGCCTTCTTGGCAAACATTAATTGTGCTAGAATTCTTATTCTCAGCTGGTGGGTGGCTTCAATTAGACTCTGCATGGCCTTCCCGGGTCCATTTCATTTTATCCTGTTCATTTGTATAGCCTCAACTTCAGAAGGTTCACCTAAGCATACAGTAGGTCTCTATTCCTGACTTAGGCATGTTAGCTCAGCAGAAGACTACCTACCTATCTTGTGTGTTGCCCTAGGTTCCATTTCTGCTCCACAAGAGAGAAGATAGATGCCTGGGTGGGACGGGGCTCTCACACTCAAATCTCAACTACTCAGAGGCTGAGGAAGAAGGATAATTTTGGGGGGAGGAGGACAGAGCAATCATTTATTAGGAGTTATTAAACTTTATTAAGGGGGAAAGAACTACCCAGGGTGGGAAGGGCTCTGGAGAACAAATACCCAGAAGGTCCCTTAAAGACTTCAGCAGTTCCAGGCCAGCTTAGGCAGTAGAGTAAGATTGTCTCCAAAAAATAAATAAATAAATAAATAAAGTTACCCTGTGTTTAAAGCCCAGTGGGTAAAGCGCTTGTTATGAAAGCATGAGGACCCGGGTTCGAGTTCATATCCTCAACCCCCACATAAAAGCCAAGCCTGGCTGCTGGCATCTGTAACCCTAAGGCTAGGGAGGCCGAGAATGGAGGATCCTGTAAGTTGCTGACCAGCCATTATGTCAGATGCCCAACTTCAGGTTCAGTGGAGACTGTTTCATAAATTACGGTGGAGTGTAAGCAAGGAAGACATCTGACCTCGGGCCTCCCAGTGAACCACACACACACACACACACACAGGTTAAAAAGAATTTGTTGGGATGGTGAGATAGCTCAGTGAGTCAAGGTGCTTGCTGCCAAGCCTCACTACCAGAGTTCAAAACCAAGGCCCCACAGGGTGGAAGGCGAGAATCAAACCCTCAAGTTGTCCTGCCTCTCCCCATCTACACAGAAACCACACACACCAATGAACCAACGGCGAACGCCCAACCCTACACCCCCAGCACTCACTTTTATACTAGGGATGGCACAGTCCAGGGTTTCAAAGGCCCTCTGCTTACTCCTTCCACAACTGGGGAAACCGAGGCTGACTCGGGACGCGCCCCTTGGCGCGGCCAGCCCGGGATGCCCAGAGAGCCCATCCCCCCCTATTCTTAGCCCTGTAAATTCCACGCGGGGTGGTCAGCCTGCTCGCAGCTGAGTCATCGGGATCTCAGAAGAGTTTCCCCCGCGTCCTCCCCGCCCGGGGACAGGAAAGCGTCGGACTGCCCAGGGGCCGGAGCGTCCCATGGCCCGAGTCGAACTGGTACTCAGAAAATCCCCGCCGCCGCCCCACTCTCGGGTTTCCAAGACAACGGGGCACAGAGTCGCCCGGGGCGGCCAAGCCCCGCCTCCGCCCGTAGCGGAAGCCGGAAGCCGGAAGCCGCCGCGGGTCCCGCTAGCCCCGCGGCGCCCAACTCGGTAGTCTCGGAGGCTCGCAGGATTGGGGAGAAGATGGCGGAGGAGGAGTGAGTTCGCTGCTCCGGGTGGCGGAGGCGGCTGGGCCGGCCCGGCGGCGACCACGGGCCCCGGGCGCCCGGGTGGAGCGGCCCTGGCCCAGCCGGCCGGGGTCGGCAGGGGGGCGGGGTGAGGACTCGGGCCCCGCGGCCTCGCCTAGGTCATACTTCGGCCTCCGCGCGCAGGCCCGTAGCGTAGCCGGGCGGAAGCGCCAACATAGTTCCCTCTCCCGGTTTCCGGTTATCTGAGGTGTCCCAGGCGCTCCTCCTCCTCCTCCAGGAAGTCCTCCCGTTGCCACCGCCCTCTTTAACCATCCGCAGTCGTCAGTGTTCATGTCTGTCCCCAGAAGGTTTCATTCATTCATTAACTGCCGGTTGTCCGCTCCACTTGGCCGCGGGCGCCAGGAGCTGCCCGCAGGTAGCAGCCATTCCGCTATAGTGGGAGACTTTGTGTGGGCAGGGTGTTTTCCCGACCCTGCCAAATGCTTGGAAGGAAACTGAACAGTGTGAGGGAAGAGGAGTCGGCCCTGGAAGAAAAATGTCTTGTGACCCAAAACTTGAATCCACAGGAGAGATAGGGAGGGTGACAGGTTCAAAAGGCCTGAGCCAAGAAGGAGTTGTAACTCAGTGAGTCCCCAGTTCAGTCCTTAGCCCTGCCAGGAAAGGAGAGGGAGAGGGTGATGGGTGATGCCGCGCGGCTGGTCGACGGTGTAGAGGGCAGCTCACAGAATGAGGCGAGCTCTAGCTCTCTGGGCATGTGCCGCTGCTAGTCCATCCTCACACGGGGCAGGACACCATTGTTGTGGCAGGTTACAAGTTCTGTCTTTGGAATGAGCTCCTGAGAACGAACAAGGAGCCCTTCAATGACACTGAACTTGTACAGGGAGCGTTTCACTTGAGGTATCTTTTGGCCAGTCAGGTACCCAGTCATTAACACCTTGTGTATCTGTGCTGTCACAGACACTAAAAGAGGCCTCGGCAGTTCGAGGCTAAAGAGGTAATGGGGAGTCAGATGGTTTGAAGTGTGTGCGTTTGAAGCTTGGTCATTTATGCAGTCTGGAGCTGCTGTGTTTCTAGGTCCTGGAGTGGAGCGGTGCTCAGTGGATGACAGTCACAACTATGTCACTACGGCATTAATTCACAAGCCTAACAGTGGGAGCAAGGACCAAAGCCGAGGGTGGCGTGGGGTGTACAAGAGCAGGCAATCTGAGCCTTTTGAAATTCAAGAAGGGTTTGGCAGGCAGGTTAGGGCACTCTGAGCACAGCAACTGGGCAAACTCAGGTGACATTTTCAGTTTAGGAAGTAGTCCTGAAAGGGTTGGGATCTAAGTGGTAGAGCCTTGCCTGCCACAAACAAGGTCCTGATCATTCGCTAGTAACACACAGTGTATACAAAATCCAAGGAGACTGTAAATTAGGAAAATAAAAGGCACCAAAAAATAGTATAGAACCTGGGGTGTGGGGCGACTCCAGTCCCACCCGGAGTATTTGTTTTGTTTCTTCCTCTTTGAGACCATTTCATGTATCCCACAGGACCGGTCTTGAACTCACTGTGTATTACTATGTATGCCGGGGTCTCTTTACCTTGAACTCATTTTCCTGCCTCTTCTCCCAAGTGCAGGCATTATAGGCGTGGGTTACCATACCCTGCTAGCCTCACTAAGTTCAAAGGACAGACAGCATTTCCTCTTTTTGTTGTTTTTGGTGGAGAGAAAGGGGCCTACTGAGGATTGACCTGTAGAGTCTGGTGCGTGCTGGGCAAGCGTTCTGCTAGACAGGGTTTCACTATGCAGCAAACTTGTGGTCCTCCTCTGTTGGTATTACAGGCATGTGCCACTGTGCCCAGCTTCTCTTTTACTTATTTTGAGACAGGGTCTCACCAAGTTAGCTAGGCTGGCATTGAACTCACTAGCCCCTGCAGGCTTTTAACTTGTGGTCCTCCTGCCTAATCAACTGATAGCCTTAGGCTCAGCAGTTTTGTTTTGTTACACAGGGTTTCATGTGGCCCAAGCTGGTCTTGTAGCTGAAGGTGCCCTCAAACTCTTGATCCTTCTCCTCTCCCTCCTCAGTGCCGGGATTATAGGCCTGTGCCCCACACACCTGGTTTATGTACTACTGGGGATCAAACCCAGGGCTTTGTTGCAGGCACTACCAGCTGAGCTACATACATCCCGGGCCCTAGACTCAGCCTTGTGCATTTCATTCTGCACAGGCCTGACCCCCTTCTTCCTGACCTCTGGTCGGCCAAGGTCAAAGATGCTAGAGATCACTGGCACTGGGTACTGTGTAGGCAGGACTTCCCTCTCTTCAAGGCCTGCCTACTGTTTGTGCCCTCAGGGCTTCGATAGGTTCTCATTCAGTCAATGCTGTGTTTGTCCCTTGACCCTCTTCTTCATGCGACTGCCACTTGTATGTTTCCAATAGGTTTGCCAACACAACCCATGAGAGCGTCAACTTCACCCTTCACACTACCCTGGGGGTCACCACGAAGCTGGTGCTCCCGACACCTGCCAAGCCCATCCTTCCAGTGCAGACAGGGGAGCAGGCCCAGCAGGAGGAGCAGTCTAGCGGCATGACCATTTTCTTCAGCCTTCTCGTCCTCGGTGAGTAAGCCTGGGGTGGCTGTTACCTGTCAGCCCTTTGCTTCCTGAAATCAGAGGCCTCGCAGTTCTGAAAAGCCTTGAGCGCAATGTTTTGGCCTTTGAAAGAAAAAGCTTTTCCCTCCTCCTCACTCTCTTCTCTCTCCTTGCTCCTCCCTCCTCCTTTCTCCTCTCTTCTCCTCTTCTTCCTCCTCCCTCTTCCTCTCTCCTCCTCTGTTCTCCTCTCTCCTCCTCTGTTCTCCTCTCCCCTCTTTCTGCTTCCCCCTAACTTACTAAAAAAAGAAAGAAAGAAAAAGAAAAAGAATGAAAGAAAAAAGCTTTTTTTAGACAAGGTCTCGATGTACAGCCCTGGCTGTCCTAAAACTCTCTCTCTGTAGACCAGGTGGGCCTCAAACTCACGAGATCCACCTGCCTATGCTTCCTGTGTGCTAAGATTAAAGGCAAGCGCCACCCTGCCTGGCCAAGAAAGAACTTTTGATGTTGTTGGTGTTTTTTATTCTTTTTACTCTTTGTTCTTTTGGGGGCCTGCCACCCAGCTCCCAAATAAATCACACACAGAGGTTTATTCTTAATTATAAATGTTCAGGCTTGGCTTGTTTCTTGCCAGCTTTTTTTTTTTTTTTAACCTAAATTAACCCATCTACCTTTTGCCTCTGAGCTTTTTCCTTTCCTTCTGTATATGTTACTTTCACTCTTACTCTATGGCTGGCTGGGTGGCTGGCCCCTGATGTCCTCCTCTCCTTGTTTTTTTTTTCTCTTCTCTCTTCTCCCAGATTTCTCCTTTTATTCATTCTCTCTGTCTGCCAGCCCTGCCTATCCTTTCTCCTGCCTTGCTATTGGCTGTTCAGCTCTTTATTAGACCATCAGGTCTTTTAGGCAGGCAAAGAATCACAGTTTCACAGAGTTAAACAAATGCAATATAAAGGAATGCAACGCATCTTTGCATCATTAAACAAATGTTCCACAGCATAAACAGATGTAACAGTTTCATCTGGACAGGTGTGGTGGCTTGCACTTGTAATCCAATTGCTGGGATGGCAGAGACAGGAAGACCCCTTGGGGTCATTGGCTAGCCAGTCTACTTTAATCAGTGAGCTCCAGGCCAATTGGAGACCCTGTTTCAAAGAAGGTGGGACGCATTTCTGATGGTAATATCCAGGATGTCTTCAAGCATTCATAAGCACCTGCCTACCCACTCAATTTTTATTAACCAATCTGAAGCCATATAAATACTTTAGATAGTAGTTCTTAGCCTGTGGGTCGACCCTTTCACAGGGGTCACCTGAGACCATCAGAAAACATATATATTTACATTATGATTCAGAATAGTAGCAAAATTACAGTTACGAAGTAGCAATGAAAATAATTTTATAGTTGGGGGTCAGCACAACATGAGGAATTGTATTAAAAGGGTCCCAGCATTAGGAAAGTTGAGAACCACTGCTCTAGATTATCTAAGGGAGAAAAAGCTTAGGGAATGTGGTCCCAGTCTGTGCTTTGCCAGACAGTAAAGCTGCACATTTACTACTCTGCCTTTTTTTTTTCTCCCATGTTTTTTGGATGCTTAGTCTGGCCTTGAACTTATTATGTGGCAATCAACCTTACTCTCCGGGACTATGGGGGTCCAGCCCCTTAATAGTCCCATCCCAGGGTCTGGGAAGAATCTACAACCAGCTGATAATTTAATCTCTGATGAAAAGAAATGAATCTACATACATGAAACTCCTTAGTCCATTCACTTTATTCTTCTGAGTCAGCTCTCTCTCTACACAGCTTCTATTCTGCTCTCATGCCTAGCTCCTTTCTTGTCTGACTTCTCTCCACATTTATCTGCTGTCCCCTCTCAGTTCTAACTTAATTCTCTCATCTCAGTTCTGCCCCATCTAGGTTCTCATCCATCTAGTTCCTTCCCATCTTAGCTCCTCTCCCATCTCTTTCTTTCTTATCTTGTTCTTCCTCATCTGGCTCTTCCTCATCTTCCATATTGTTCCTCTAGTACTCTCTTTTAGCCCTTCAATCTAGTTCTTCCCCATCTCAGTTCATTCTTCTCCAGTTCTTACCCATCTAGTTCTTCCGTTCTCTTTTTTCCTCTCTCACTCCTCCTCTCAGTCTACTTATTCTCTCAGTTCTCCCCAGGTCTCTCAGGAATCCAGTTATAAACCCAAGCAATAGCAATCCTCTCAAAGAGCAAGGTCACCAGGCTTGAACTCTTATGGGGTTATGAAGTCAGGTAAGAATTTTCCTTAGACAGTGACCACCAGGCTTTCTTTTACAACCCAAAAGGAGGAGGTCAGTAGAGAGCTAATGATCAGTTAATATATCAAGAAGGGCATTTATGTGCTCAGTCTACATTCCTAGAAGTGGTTAGGTAAGAAATTAGGAGTCTATTAGTAAAGCTGTAAGGAAGGAGGGTCTCACCCTAAATTGCACAAGAAATAAAGCTATCCTCCTGACCTAGGAGACAGGTGTTGTTTCGTTTGGCCTTGGATGCTTGATAGATATTTTAGATAAATACACTGTTAGGAGTTCTTGGAAGCATGCATAGCACTACAAGAAAATCACTGTAGGAACCAGCTAATATGTATACAAAAGCTAAAACATCACCAAGACTTCTTAAGCTATGGCTTGACCTTTGGAGAAGTCCTTGACTTTTCCAAGTAGTAGCTTTTGTGATAGTAGCTGAATTCCATTATGTTTTCCTGCGACTTGCAGGAGTTCCAGGTTTTTCATTTAGTAAAAAAAGGAGAATGTTTAATTCTCTCTCGGGTAGCGAGAAACATGGATAAATTTAAATTTGGAGATGACTGAAAAATGATAAGTAATAGTTAATTAATATTGATATTTCATCAATATTTGTATCAATAGTCTATATAGATGGCAGGCTGAGAATTAGTTTAACCATCTAATAGGTATAGTTGTTTATAAGTGGAATATCTCTGTCCCAAAAACAGAGCAGAGGAGTAACATAAAAATCTATCATTAGCTAGTATAGCATAATATGGTCAAATGTGTCTAAATACTATAATTGTGACTTATCAAAAAGAAATGGTTAGTTGGGAACATTGACTTATCTATTAATCTTTAATTAGTGGTATTAATTTGGTTAAAGCGGGATAGTTAAAGAGTTACCTGAGTTAGTCATGAGCACTTGTGAGACCAAGGCTGCAGTAGAAGCTTACCTAATGATTTAAATATGTAATCAAGGAAATATTAACCCATAAGCTATGAGAGGACAGTAATAACCTGTGTCAGGGTATACATAGCAAGACTTAAATACAGAACAATTGCCATAAGTACATGAGAAGAATGTCTGATAGTACATACAATTCAGGATCATGGGCAGAAATTATACAATTAATAATAGGACTTTTTTAAGGGCAGTCCAGCCCCTGGGCTGGAGAGTTCTGTTCAGAAAGAAGGGTAAGTGACAAAGGGGTTGTAGAAATCGTCCATGGCCACTTCCTGCTGAGATGGGGGCGAAGCTGAGGGTCTTAAAGGCTGGAATGCAGTGGAAACCCAGGAAGAGCAGACTGTTTCAGGCTTTGTGAGACATGGTTATAGCAGGATTTCCTTTCTCATGGGCTGGATGGCGGATGCAGGGCTGAGCTGGACAGCATGTCCATGGTCCAGAGGATGACAACCTGTAACTCTTTCAATGATTAGAATTTCTGTTGGGAACAAATATATGTGTTAGTGGTAGAACATGCAGTTGAGGAGTTTTAAAGAGGAAACTTTTTTCTCTTAGGTGTACCTATGGAATATCAAATGCATGGTTTTAGCAGATAAGAAAAGGGATTTCGGGCCAGGGAGAGAGGGAAAGTTCCCCTCCCACCCCAGAGGAGAAAAAGAAAATTTGTAAGTGAGAGAAATAAACTGTAGTCAGGTTACATTCTTCCCAGTCCTTCTTGGCTTGTGAGCGTTGGTGAATTTTGATCTCTTGAAGCTTATAAGAACCTTCTTAAAAGACAAAATCTTTAGACATATTAGCAACATGGTAACTGGTGAATTTTGTCAGAGCAAAATTATGAATCCTTGGAGTCTCAACCAAACAGCAGGATAGTCAGAATGAAATCTGAAATGTTTCATTTATATATCTCAAATCTTGTTTATCTTTTGATCAAAATTAATAAAATACATTTAGAACAGAATTGAACAGAATTACTATTTTTAATCATATTCATATAAGTTTTGATATCATTGATGAACTCTAGTTCATCAAAAGGACCTGAAATTATATCAATTCATTCATAAAGCCAAAGCTCAGTATTAAGAATCTATGAGTAATTAACAGCCTGTATTCAGACTGGCAGCTTTAGAGCGCCTTTGTCCTGCAGTGGCCTAGTATGTGGTGTGACCAGGCGATCCAGGATTCATAAAGACAGGTCAGTGTCCTGTGAAGACATGTAAGCATATCCTCTTCCTGACATTATGAAAACATCAGGACCTTTTCAAATACCAGTGAGAAGAGCGTAGAGGCTTAGGTATAACTTTGTGGCTTGGCCTGGGGGTAATAAGGAATGCCTGTTGTGGAGATATGAAAAGTCAAGTACCAGTACTTACGAGCTCTTGATGCATATGTAAGGCCTTTGTCCATTATGAGCTCTAGGCATTCCTAAAATTGAAAGGCAGTGAAAAAATATTGTGTTACCTCTTATAACATAGCCATAAATTATAAGGATGTAGGCCTTGTGCGTGAGCTTCCATAGGGAGAGAATTTATAGTTGTTGGTCAGACATAAGAAAGTACAAGTATATCCTGTAGACCCATCTGTCAGTCTATGGACTCATAAGTTTTGTAGTTTGAGATAAGTATAATATTACCTGTGCAATAAATGTATTGCATTTTGTGTGTGTGTGTGTGTGTGTGTGTGTGTGTGTGTATGTATATACATACATACATACATACATACATACATACATACGTATATTATTACTGGGTTAGGGGACTGTGAGGGAACTGTAACTGACAGTTCTGATTATTAATCTATACATATACTGAGCAAT